ACAGATACGCGCGTGCACACAGCAGAGGGCCAGAAGGGGAGGGGTCTGTTTTGTTCTTTCCAGGCCTCACTTCCCAGAGGCAGCTGCTGGGTTGAGATCGCCCCCTGGGGGACGGGGGCACCATGATGATTTTAAATATTTTGCTTACCGTAGATGTTTTACAGTAAATACGGCAAATGTTTCACTCACCCCCTCCCTTACCTGTGTTCTGGTGACGTCCTCTCTGAATGGTGAGGATGCCGGAGTCTCACCTCTCACCTCCCTCCTCTCCTGCTCACTGTGCCCCTTGGAGATGGGGGTGATTTTACAGATAAAGTCACCGAGTCCCCGGGGCAAAGGTGCCCGTTCGAGGGTCCGTGTTAGCGAGCGGGGAGCCACAACCGACGCTCTCTGGCTATGCGGCCGCCCGCTCGCCTCCCCGAGGGGACCGGCTTCTGGAATGGAGTGGTGGGTGCCCTTCCCCCCGAGGCCCCGTGCGGTCGCCGCCCCAGGTCGGGTGTGGTCATCGCCGAGAGCCATCGCGGAGCTCAATGGGCGCGTCCGAACGCTTCCCCGCAGGTCAAATACTGGCATTCTGACCAGTGCAACATGATCAATGGGACGTCTGGACAGATGTGGGCGCCGTTCATGACTCCCGAGACCTCACTGGAATTCTACAGCCCCGAGGCCTGCCGGTAATTGCTGGGACATCCTGGGTCATCCTGGGCCTTCCCCGGGCAGCGGAAGTTGGCTTTGTGGACGCTCACGGCCTAACCGAGTGGCTTTTCGCGTGTGCTTGGGAAGCACGTTTGGCTCTTTGTGTGTTCGTGGGCCCTTGGCACGGTCCGGAACACTCTTTGGTTACACCGTGAAGGGCCACACCCCTCCTGCACCCAGAGAGGCTGCGGGCAGGGGTCGGCATGCTGGTAAGTGGCATTAGCCGGGTGCAGGAAGCCATCGGGTCCCGAGGGCTGGGAATGGGGTGAGCACCGGCTCCCTGCGGCATCCGTCCAGCTGCCCAATTGTCCATTTGGATGCTGAGATCTCTAGACGCGTGTCCGACAGCCTCTTTGGGCTCCAGAGTGTGGCCTTGGAGGCCCGGTGGATTCTGAGGGCCCCAGTGAGGGTGAGAATAGACAGAGCTCTCCTCTGAGAGACCCCTCTGCTGGAGCCGCCTTTGCTGTGCCTCTGTTTACTTTCTAAAATGAGAAATTTCAACCCAGAGAAAAGCCGCAAGCAGGTGCCATTTCCCTCAGTTTTGGAGGTCATTTCTCTCCTGCCCCGTCCACTCTCTCGTCACTGCTCAGCCCCCTGGACCGTCCGAGAGTAAGTTGGACGCCTCGATACCTCAGGGAGCGTTTTCTAAAAACAAGGACGTTTTCTTGCGCGAGCACATTACCGTCATGAAAATGAAGAAATCTAGCATCCGCCTTAACACTGTTGTCTGGGCCGCTGCTGTCCCCTAAGAACGCGAGTCCTGTCTGCAATTTTAGATTTCTAGTGGCTGCGTTAAAAAAAGTAACAAGACGTACACGAAGTTAATTTTAACGATAGGTTTTATTTGACCCAACTGTATCCAAAACATTACCACATTGGCCTGTAAGCAACGTCAAATGTTGTTGAGATGTGTCACTTTTTAAAATTTAAAAAAAAAAAAATTTTTTTTTTCAACGTTTATTTATTTTTGGGACAGAGAGAGACAGAGCATGAACAGGGGAGGGGCAGAGAGAGGGAGACACAGAATCGGAAACAGGCTCCAGGCTCTGAGCCATCAGCCCAGAGCCTGATGTGGGGCTCGAACTCACGGACCGCGAGATTGTGACCTGGCTGAAGTCGGACGCTTAACCGACTGCGCCACTCAGGCGCCCTGAGATGTGTCACTTTTTAAAAAAAATTTTTTTTGTATCAAGCTGTAGAAATGTGGGATGTGTTTTAGCTTATGGCGGGCCACACCCAGACTCGCCCCATCCGAGGGGCGTGTGTGACAGGTGGCCTCCGTGGACAGCACGGTTGTAATCCAGAGTCCATATTCAAGTTCAGAAGTGCCTTTGAGAAACACAGCAGGGTGAACAGGGTGGGGGACACAGTGCTGCTGGCTGAGGCGGTGGCGGCTCAGTCACCACGTGTGTGCAGAACTGAAGCTGGATGTGTGATCAGCCCGGGGAGGCCGGACGGAGAAAAAGGACCAGGGGCAGGAGGGAGCACATCTGAGCCACAGCCAGGGGGCCCGTGGGATGCTGTAAAGGGGCTGGACCCCAAAGAGGCTTTTGGGCCGTGGTGAGGACAATGGATCTTATTCTAGATAAGACTGGAAGCAATTGATGGGGCGCCTGGGCGGCTCAGGTGGTTAAATGTTCGATTTCGGCTCAGGTCATGGTCTCGCGGTCCGTGAGTTCGAGCC